TTACACAACCACAAAAGCAGGAGAGTGATGTTGAGGAGAACAATCAACCAGAGTCTCCGCAGCATACAGTTATAGAAGAACCAGTTGACTCACCAGAATCATCGCCAAGAAAGACACGAAGATTATCAGAAATATATGAAAGATGCAACTTGATGATCATAGAACCTGAAAGCTATGAAGCAGCTTCAAAACAACCAGAATGGAGAGATGCTATGGATGAAGAAATAAAAATGATCGAGAAAAACAATACTTGGGAGCTTGTAGATCCTCCTCAAGATAAAGAAGTCATAGGAGTTAAGTGGGTCTACAAGACAAAACTCAATGCTGATGGCTCAATTCAAAAACATAAAGCAAGACTAGTTGCCAAAGGATACTCACAGCAGTTTGGCATCGATTACACTGAGACATTTGCCCCTGTTGCACGTCTCGATACTATAAGGGCGTTAATTGCACTAGCCGCACAGAAAAGGTGGAAGATTTACCAGCTGGACGTCAAATCGGCATTTCTTAATGGGTATCTTGAAGAAGAAATTTATGTGGAGCAACCTCAAGGGTACTTGGTTCGAGGTAAAGAATATAAAGTTTTCAAACTAAAGAAGGCACTATATGGATTAAAACAAGCTCCGCGAGCCTGGTACAGCAGAATTGACAACTACTTCACTAAGCAAGGATTCAGGAGGAGCCAAAGTGAACCAACTCTATACATCAAAAATCAAGGTACAAATAGTACACTTATAATCTCTTTATATGTTGATGATCTCATCTACACAGGGAATGATGAGAAGATGATCAAGAAATTCAAGGAAGATATGATGAAAACGTTCGAGATGACTGATCTGGGATTAATGCACTATTTTCTTGGGATCGAGGTAACTCAATCTAAAGATGGGATATTTATAGGTCAGAAGAAGTATACCACCAATCTATTAAAAAGGTTCAAGATGGAAGGTTGCAAAACAGTAGCAACACCTCTGGATAGCAACAAACCACTCAGAAAAGAAGACGGTACTTCAAAAGCAGATAGTTCACAATTTCGAAACTTAATTGGAAGTTTACTCTATCTAACTGCTACAAGGCCAGATATAATGTATGCAACCAGCCTACTTTCAAGATTTATGCAAAATCCAAGTCAAGTTCACTATGGAGCTACAAAGCGGATACTAAGATACCTCCAAGGAACAAAGGACTATGGAATAAGGTATGAGTCTACGCCTGACTCAAGACTACTTGGGTATACTGATAGCGATTGGGCAGGATCAGTAGATGATATGAAGAGCACATCAGGCTATGCATTCACACTAGGTTCGGGAATATTTTCTTGGGCATCAAAGAAACAGGCAACGGTTGCACAATCATCAGCTGAAGCAGAGTATATTGCAGCAGCAATGACTACGAGTCAAGCAATATGGTTAAAGCGCATACTTGAAGATATGGGAGAGCCACAAAATGAAGCAATAAAGATCTACAGCGACAGCAAATCAGCTATAGCAATGGTCAAGAATCCTGTATTTCACAGCAGAACAAAACATATTGGCATCAAGTATCACTTCATCAGAGAAGCTGAAGCAAACAAAGAGATAGAACTTAAACATTGCAAAACTGAAGAACAATTGGCGGACATATTCACGAAGGCGCTACCACGAGCAAAGTTCGAGCTACTACGAGAAATGATTGGAGTTACCGAAATGAGCATCAAGGAGGAGTGATAAATTTAATGATGCTCATTTCTAGAAGAATCTAGAATTACTTGCCTACAATATTCTAGAATTCCTTAGTAAGCAAGTATAATAAAAAATTAGAATTGTCTAGATTCCACTAGAGTAACTTGGACACCAAAAAATCTTGTATAGGTTGTAGACACTTGTAGAATTCTCTAGAAGATGTGATAAGAGTCTATAAATAGGGCATGATCCCTCATTTGTTTGTAAGAAAAAAAAGAAGCTAGACAAAGCTCAAGCTATTGTAAGCCATCATCATTCTAATAAAATTCCTTTCTCCTACCCACTTTGTCCACCAAATTACTTTCTACCAAAATCTTCTAAACTATTAACTTTCAATAAAAAGCGAACTATTTTTTACCTCCAAAATTATTCCATACAAAACATCCTCAATCATCCTATCCCATCACTACAACAACACAAAAACTATCAAAATCAAAGACTCGAGACAGGTTACATCATCAGGAAAAAATGAAATCCAATCCACTTCATCGTTTGTAACGTCGGTGTCCGCCAATTCAAGCACCCTAATATGCCTGAGACAAACAAAGCCCATCATGCTTGGGAAAAATAAAAATGCCTTAATCCCGAATTTTACTTTATTTAACCTCAAGTTATTTTTCATTCAAAGACAGTTACCATAAAATTCGTACGCACACACATTTTGTGAGGTCAATCCACCCATATAATTGGCTTCAATTTTCGGCCAAATCGATTGGAGCCATGGTCGGAGCTTGGGTGGGTTTCGAAGAGGGAAGTGAGGGCTTCAAGGTGGTATGTTGGTCCGGCACCCAAGGTGGCCGGAGGGTGGAGTTTTTGTGGTGGTGGAGGAGGAGGGGAAGAAGAGGGAGAGGAAAGAAGAAAAAGATGATTTTTTAATTTTTATAATTTATTGGACTGATTTATATGTTTTCAAAACGTTTGGGAGTATGATTTCAATTTGGGCTTTATTTTCTTCACTTTTTTGATTTTTTGTTTTAAATAAGAGGATATAATGGTCAGTTTACGTTCAAAAATAGAGAAAATGATGTTTTGCTCAATCAAACGTTGAAATAAGAGAAAAAAATGCCAAAAAATGAAAGATAATGACGTTTTCCACAATCAACCTAAAAGGTAGGGACGTTTTGTCCAATTACCCTAATATTTATTTATTTATTTCTTACTTTTGTATTAGGATGATAGCAATACAACACTTTTCTTCCGAATAATATTTGTTTCAGTATTATGTTATGTCTTACTTTTATGATTATCACTAACAATTTTCGTTATTAAAAATGATTGAAATGTGTGGTTGGTCCCTAATCTATTGAGAAAGTAGAAGTGGGTGCTGACCTTTCAAAATAGGTGCAAAACCAGTCCTTACAGATATTTATATTAACACTCCTTGCCTTTTCAATTATTACATAAACACGTAAAAAAAATTATAGCACAAGTATGTTAATTTTCAAAATGTGACCGAGTAGAAATGTTATGAGATTATATAAAAAAAAAAAAAAATTCAAGAAAATGTTACTTAATCAAGCTATACAAATAAAAGAAAAAAAAAACTTTAATTTTCTTATTCAAAACTGAACACAGAATACTTTTGACGTTTAACGGACAAGCTCCGCCTAACTGGACTTCGGTGTTCGATTCACCACTGTTCAAGTTCTGAAGTTATGAAATGGAATTTTTTCAACTAGTCCATAACAAGGTTATACAAAATGTTTAATAATGAAAAAAATTTAATTTATATTTTTTCTTGAATACGATCTACTACATCGCAATTACCTTGTACATGTTATTGAACAAATAGGTTCCCCACATGTATCCAGAATATATGAACGTTCCATCAAAAGAAATTGCACGGTATGCTTCACTTATTCCAATTGAATCGAACAAACACTTAACATGCCTCGAAACATGGTGACGTTTGAAGATACAAATCTTGAATTTTTTGTTATTGTTTGAATTTTAATGGACTATAAATTTGATGCGAACTCGGTTAGCACAGTCGCTAACCCACTAGATGTTGACACCGGATCCCAAGAACGTCCAAATGATCTAGGTTTGGGATTTAATTTACAAATTTACGAACCAAGCAACCAATAGTATATTAAACTATTAACCTCTTGATCACGAAACTTATAAATTTCATCCGAATTTGTGGATCTGACTCAATAATCACAAACCAAACGACCGCCACAATCACTTGGATATGTTGACCTTTTGATTACAAATAATTAATTGAAATCACACTCTGATTTTGAACGTCACAAGAATTAACAATTCTTGTTAAGTTCAGCTTGTCCCATCCAGAACAATAATTTTGAAACAAAGCTTCGAAGAGAATTTTTCATTCAATAATCCATAAAGTCTTGATAAAATTACATAGTAGAATAAATAACCTATTTATACCAAGGCTATAAAATCTAGGAAATATGAAAAATACTAAAAAAAAAAGGGAAAACAAACTCCTAAAAATATAAGATTATCAAAGTTTAGGGTTTTAATTAAGGTATAATTTGTCGCGCAAAATTCTGGAACAATCTGCCCGATTTACTGAAGGCGACCGCATGGCTATTTTATATGCGGTCGCATGGTTGCCAAGAAATGCGCCATCCAATTCCTTGCTAGTCGTTTATCATTACGATAGGTGTCAAGTGAAAGTGCAATGATGTATACAACTGAGGCATCCTAATAGACCGGTAGACTTGAAACTTGCTTGACAGTCGCTAAAGGAAAATAGAATAAGGAGATGTTGATCGGATGCTTCTAGAAGAAGAAGATTGGATGAAGCAAGGATATTTAGAGATCTCTCAGTGGCTTGATTCTCGTGGAGCTAAGCTAAAAGTCGGTTGTTGGGTCTCTCAAATAAAAGATGGGCTTAACGGGGCAGGACACAGGCTGTGCGGCCGCATACTGGTGACAATTGTGCGATCGCATGGCTGTCCATTTGGCTTCGATTTCTATTTTTTGTCCAGCTTGCTTCCGCTGCCCTTCCATTGGCTGACACAAACTTATCCAAATGTTTTGCCTCCCATTCCCAGCATGTGAAATGATTCCAATTTTAAACCTTTTAATTCTCTAATTTCACCCACGAATATGTGTATATATTTTATAATTCAGCCATCCCCAATTCTCCAAGCTGCCTTGAATTTTGACTCCCAGCTGCTGGTCTTTTTTTGTCTCTGTCTGCGCATATATATATATATATATATATATATATATATATAATGAAAGCAACCACCACTTTGTTAATTCCTCAAGCAGCCACCTTAATCTCTACTCTTTTGTCTCCGCATGCATGTGAGCATATTAAATTCAGCGAGCCTCTACTTTTTAATTCCTCCAGCAGCCACCACTTTGTTAATTGCTCAAGCAGCCACCTTAATCTCTACTCTTTTGTCTCTGCATGAATGTGAGCATATTAAACTCAGCAAGCCTCTACTTTTTAATTCATCCAGCAGCCACCTTCCTTTTGTCTCTGCATGCAAGTGAGCATTTTAATTCAACAAGCCTCTACTTTTTAATTCATCCAGCAGCCGGCTTCAATAGGCAGCCCTTACTTTTGTGGGAATATATGAAATTCAGCTCAATTACCCCTCTAATTAAGCTCTAATCTTGCTCTCGACCTCTCGTCAACATTCGCCAAGTTATTAAAAATTCGGCGCCTAGCCTGGATCATATCAAGATTGCTCGTTTAAGATTAATGATCCTTCATTTTTTTATTTTATTTTTAATCCAATGTGGGGAGGTTAGGGCACCATAATGGGGTTTATAAAATGAAATTTATTATAAAACGTTACAATCTTCAGATTAGTGAATAAAGCTACTCAGGTCCACAGATTTGTGGTTGAAAAAAGCACACGTAATATTCGTTCCCATTTGGTTGTTACGTGTCCGGTGTACTTTTCTATCCCCTATAAATTCATACACAGATTGACAGACTCTTCAGCAATTTAATTCTGGTATTGATTATAATGAATTCGATAGGGTTGTATGGACTTCTTCTTCTACTACTCTTCAACAATGGAGCATCACAAGCGATAATCAAAACTCTTCCGGGTTATTCAGGAAATCTTCCGTTCAAGCTCGAAACCGGGTTAGTTCCTTCATTCCTTTATTATTATTATTATTGTTGTTGTTGTTGTTGTTGTTGTTCTCGTCGTCGTCGTCGTCGTAGTAGTATTTATAAGGATTTTTAATCAATAGATGGGCTTATATGTGTGAATAATTGTGAGTTAAATTAAAGACTATTAAATTTGCTTAAGTCCAGTTAAAAGTGATCTAATAAGGCTTCGATTTTGAGTCGTTATGCATCCAATTAAAGTGTGGGTTTATAAATGTGTAGAAACGAAGCCCAAGTCCCTAATTTCATGATGGGTCGAATTAGATAAAAGGGCATCGCTATATAAATACAGTTATGATCCCCAAATCACACGTATGTATTGTTCATTCTCTTCTGTATCCCATCACAGAGAGAAAATGATATTGCGTGTAGATTTGGAAGATTAAACCGCGAAATTCAATCATTGCATTAACCATGTCTGATTTAGGTATGCTTTCGCTATAATTTTTGAATTTCTTGATGATCCAACATGAAGATCCGGTGATTTAAAGTAATAAATTAACCTAAAAGTGGCATCAGAGCCTTTTAATGTGTAATTATTGAGAATCAAAGCTTTAAAATTTGGTTCTTGTAATATTCTTTTGAAGTTTTCAGATTTAACAATTTTAGATCTTTATTTTGTTGAATTTGAAAACTTTTGTAGTATATTGTTCCTTATTGCCTTTCATAATTTGGATTTATGGTTAAGGAATTTTCAGATTATATGAATTTTTGAGGAATTATAGTTTTTGGATTGAAAATTTTCATATTATGGTTTGTTTTGTTTTGTTTTTTTTTTTTTTTTTTTGGTTTTTTTTGTTTTTTTTTTTTTTTGGTTTTTTTTGTTTTTTTTTTTTTTTGGTTTTTTTTGTTTTTTTTTTTTTTTTTTTTTTTTTTTTTGGATTCAGATTCCAGATTTTTAAAGTTACAGATTTTTGGGATTTCAAAAAAAATAAAAAAATAAGGCTGCCACTGTTGCGACATAGCTGCAGCGCACCGACGCCATTGCAACAGGCAGCGCTAGGAAGAAGAAATAATTTTTTTTAGGGTTTTAGTTTTGGATGATTAGGGTTGGGGCTTGTTGTGTAAATTTGATAATTTGAGGCCCCTGGATGCAATTAGGGTTAGGGTTATAAAATTAAGGTTTAAGTTCCTAACATTTTAAAGTACATTCAATTTGGGCCTTCAAGTTTTGAATTTAATAATTCAATCCCTAAGGTTTAAAAATTAATTAATTCTGGCCATTAAAGTTCTGAATTTTATTATTAAATCCCTCAAATTTTAATTATTAATTCAAATTGGCCGCTATAGTTTATAATTAATTGAAAATGACCCCCGAAGTTTCAAAATTTTGGCCCCTAAAGTTTTGAATTAATTAATTTTTGTCCCTAAAGTTTCAAGTTTATTAATTTTAACCCCTAAAGTTTGGAATTAATTAATTTTGCGCCCTTAAAGTTTTGAATTATTAATCCTTAGACCCCTAAAGTTTAATACTAAACAAAATATGTAAAATTGGTGATTCTATTTCTCAAATTTTGGAACTAAGGACTCTTTTAAGAGATATAATATTCGAAAGTTAGTTAATTGAAGCAACATGTTGCCAAAGCAACCTCTTTTGTGGAAATTGATTAACTTAGAATATTAAAGGTGTTTGTGCATGTGTTATTCATGGAAATATTGATCGGCCCAAAGGAAGGTCAATATTTAGCCGAATTATGTGCACCTATGGTGATAAACATGTGATGATTATTGTGTGATCAATAAATCGGTCCAAAGAAATTTTTTTTTGAATGACACATTGTTTTATCGTCAATGTTTGATCACTAATATTTCTGTTCAAAGACTAGATATTGATGTTGTGCTAGGTATCTTGTGATGGGTCCTACCACTATTTGAGATTATTATTATTAACTTAAAGACATTCATGTGAGCTACTTGTAATAATCGTTCTCTAATTCAATTTTAGGTTCTGCTGCTAATATTTCTGCTAGTATCAATTCAATTCCAATGCTTAATGGCGCAAATTTCAGGGCATGACAAGAGAACGTGATGATTGGTCTCGGAGTCATGGACCTGGACTTTACTTTATAGGTCGATCAACCTGTAGCACTTACCGATAATAGTACCACTGATGACAAGAGGGATATGAAAAAATGGGAAAGATCGAACCGCATAAGCTTAATGGTCATGGAGCGTGCTATTCCAAAAGCATTCCGGGGCACTATGTCCGACAAGGTGACTACGACTAAGGGTTTCTTTGAGAATCTTGATAAGAGGTTTGTCAAGAATGAAAAAGTTGAAACAAGTACACTTTTGGCAAACCTTGTCTCAATGAGGTATAAAGTGAAAGGAAACATTCGAGAGTACATTATGGAAATGTCTCACATTGCTTCGAAACTAAAGGCACCCAAGTTGGATTTATCTGAAAACTTGTTGGTGCACTTGGTTCTAATATCCCTTTCGGCACATTTCAGTCAATTCAATGTGAGCTACAACTGTCAAAAGGACTAATGGTCCCTTAATGAGCTCATCTCACACTGTGTCCAGGAAGAGAAAAGATTGAAGTATGAGAAGACAGAAAGTGCTCATTTGACTACCACTTCTAAGGACAAAAGGAACAAGAAAAGAAAGATTAATAAAGAAGTTGCAAGTACAACATCGCAAATGAAATAGCATAAGGAACCAATTGAAGGTAGTTATTTCTTCCGTGGAGCTGCAGGTCATAAGAAGAAGAATTGCACCAATTACCACACATGACGTGTAAAGAAAGGTATTTTTCTTCATTTGGTTTGTTGTGAGGTAAATCTAACTTCGATATCTAGACATACATGGTGGATATGGTGCAACAACTCACATCAGTATGTCTATATAGGGTTGTCTGAGTTTCCAAAAACTAAGTGATAGTGAAAGATGCATCTATGTTGGCGACGGCAAGAAAGTGGAGTAGAAGCAATAGGAAAATTTAGATTATTGTTAAAGATTGAATTTTATTTGGATCTTGTTGATTCATTTATTGTACCGTCTTTTAGACGAAATTTGATTTCTATTTCTATTTTGAACAAATTTGGTTATTCTTGTTCATTTGGAAATGGAAAATTTAGTTTGTTTTATGATTCAACATTGGTTGGTTCCAGTTCTTTATCAGGTTACGATAATCTTTATTCAATTGATACAATTGCTTCTTTTAATGAATCCTTTCATGTAAGTACTCGAGGTTTAAAGCAAAACTAACCTATGAGAATTCTACCTTGTTGTTGCACAAGAGATTAGGTCACATCTTCAAAAGGAGAATTGAAAGACTTGTGTCTGACGGGATTTTCGACCCTCTTGATTTCACAAATTTTGATTTGTGTGTTAACTGTATAAAGGGAAAACAAACTAATAAAATGAGATTTCAACCCAATAGTTCTTCAGACGTCTTAGAACTTATAAATACGGATATTTGTGGACCATTCTCTATGGGTTCTTGGATTGGTCAACAATATTTTTAAACATTCATAGACGACTTTTCAAGATATGACTACATATATCTCATTCATGAAAAATCACAGTCACTGGATATGTTCAAAGACTATAAAATCGAAGTTGAGAACCAACTCGGCAAAGGGATTAAAAGCGTCAGATCTGACCGTAGGGTGAATACTATGGTAGATATGACTGTTCAGCTGAACAATGTCCAGGACGATTTCCTAAATTCCTAGAGGAATGCAGTATAGTCTCACAGTACACTATGCTGGGTTTGCCCACTATGAATGGTGTTGCTGAGAGATGAAACAGAACGCTTAAGGACATGATAAGGAGTATGATTTGTCATTCGACCTTACCAGAATCTCTCTAGGGTGAAGCATTAAAGATCGTTGCATATATACTCAACAGAGTTCCAACTAAAGCCGCTGATAAAACTCTATATGAGCTTTGGATGGACAAGAAGCCTAGTTTGAAACATATACATATTTGGGGGTGTCCAACTGAGGCAAGGCCCTATAAGCCAAATGAAAAGAAACTGGACGAAATAACTATCAGTTGCTATTTTATTGGATATTCTAAAAGGTCCAGGGGTTACAAGTTTTATGATCCCATAACTAAGATAATTTTCGAGATAGAAAATGTTCGGTTCTTTGAGGATGTTGAGTTTATGGCGGGAGAGGGGGGGGAAGGGTTACAGGCTTTGTCTTTGATAAGGAATATGTTGAAATTTCTCCAATTGCTATTGACAATGATCAGGTTTCTATCACTTGCATTGTTCGAGAAGCAACTCCGGATCAAGACAATGTTATATTTTCCTCTCAAGATCAACAAATTATTCTAGAAGAACAAACTCTACAACCTCAAGAACCAATGCTATTGAGAAGATCCACTAGAGAGAGGAGAAATGCGGTTTCGGATGATTACATCATATTTCTCCAAGAACATAAAGTTGACATTGAAATGGTGAAAGATGATCCGATCAACTTTCATCAAGCCATGAAAAGTTCTAACTCTCAAAAGTGCCTCGATGTCATTAATGAAGAGATAAAGTCCATGAAGGACAATAATGTATGGGACCTCGTTCCATTACTTGAGGTGCAAAACTCATTGATTGCAAATGGATATTTAAGATTAAGAGGGAATCGAAAGGTGATGTAGAAAGGTATAAGGCTCATCTTGTCACAAAAGACTTTACACAGAAAGAAGGCATCGATTATAAAGAGACTTTCTCTCCGATTTCTTCAAAAGACTCTTTCAAAACTATAGTGGCATTAGTAGTGCATTTCGATCTTGAGTTACATCAGATGGATGTTAAAACAACGTTTCTCAATGGTGACATTGATGAAATAATTTATATAGTACAACCAAAAACCTTTGTATCGGATGATGCAAAGCAAGTGGTTTGTAAACTAAAGAAATTCATCTATGGACTCAAACAGACGTCTTGTCAATGGTATTACAAATTTCATCGAGTGATTATCTCATTTGGTTTTGAGGTGAATTTGATCGATGATTGTATATACCACAAGTTCAGTGGGAGCAATTATATTTTTCTGGTTTTATATGTCGATGACATATTGCTTGCCAGCAATGACATAGGCTTATTGCACGAAACCAAGAGATTTCTAGCAAATAATTTTGAGATGAAAGATCTTGGTGATGCCTCTTTTGTATTAGGAATTCATATACATCGAGATCGTTCTCGTGGTATTCTTGGATTATCACAAAAAAGCTATATCGAAAAGGTACTTAAAAGATATGGCATATAAGATTGTAAACTAGGTGACAACCCTATGGCTAAAGGAGACAAGTTCAGTTTAAGTCAGTGCCCTAAAAATGACTTGGAAATTAAAGAAATGCAGAAACTTCTTTATTCCTCAGCTATATGGAGTCTGATGTATACTCAGATTTGTACGCGTCCGAATATAGCGTACATTGTTGGAATGCTAGAGAGATATTTAAGTAATCTAGAATGGATCATTGGAAAGCAGCCAAATGGGTCATGCGGTATTTATAGAGAACAAAAGACTACATGCTCACATATAGAAGATCGGATCAGTTGGAGATCATCGATTATTCTAATTCTGATTTCGTGGGATACCAAGATAGTAGGAGATCCACTTCAGACTATATTTACCTGCTTGCTGGAGGTGCTATTTTCGGGAAGAGTGTTAAGCAGACACTCATAGCTATTTCCACTATGGTAGCAGAGTTTATAGCGTGTTATGAGGCATCAAATCATGAAATATGGTTGCATAATTTTGTCACTGAGCTACGCATTGTGGACAGTATAGAAAGACCGCTTAAGATATTTTGTGACAATAAATCAGTAATGATGTATTCTAATAACAACAGGAGCTCGACAAAGTCAAAATATATAGAGATCCAGTTCCTAGCTGTTAAACAAAGAGTTCAGAGTGGACATGTGTCAATAGAGCATATTGAGACAAACTCCATGGTTGCGGATCCAATTACTAAGGGATTGATACTTAAGGTCTTTCATGAGCACACTGCTCATGTGGGTGTAATGTCTCTTAAGGATATTTAGTGTCTTTTAAGGATATTTAGTTTTAGTAGGAGTTTGTATTTTTGCTTTTCATATTGGACACATGTACTGTTATTTTAGATATGGTTTATGGTTGAAGTTATTTTTAATTATAAAGTTTTGATTTATTATCTCTGAATTCCTTTAAAATGATCTCACTAAGGTATTAAGGTGGGCCAGTTGGAAATAGGCATGTTACATATCACATCGCATGTAATTTCCATGCTACACATCTATGCTTGATCCATTTCATTAGGTTATATCGATATACGTGATCAATGATGGGTTTAGGTACAATGAAAGTAATGAAAGCCGCCTTGATCCTATATTGATATGATTGATGGACAGGATTGTTTGGGGATGCATTCAGTAATGATAGCAAAATTCTGAGTACTCATAAGGTTATATTTAATGCACAATTATAAGGTGACACATATAGGCCAAGTGGGAGATTTTAAGGATTTTTAATAAATAAATGGGCTTATATGTGTGAATAATTGTGTGTTAAATTAAAGGCTATCAAATCCGGTTAAGCCCAATTAAAAGTGATCTAATAAGGTTTTGATTTTTGACCGTTATGCATCCAATTAAAGTGTGGGTTTATAAATGCGTAGAGATGGGCCCAAGCCCCTAATTCCATGATGGGTCGAATTAGGTCAAAGGGCATCGCTATATAAATATGGTTATGGTCCTCAAATCACACGTACGTATTGTTCATTCTCTTCCGTATCCCATCACAAAGAGAAAAGGAGACTGCATGTAAATTTGGAAGACAAATATATGTGAATTTTCGGAAAATCTTGAAAGGCTAGGGCATGGGGGAAAAAAAATTGAAGCACAAATCCAAGAACTAGGCAAAAACCCAAAAAATCTGAAAAAATGGAGGCTTAAACACTTTTAATGTCCCTGGGATTCTTTTAGGATTAATCAAGCATTTTATTCAGTTTGAGTAAAGCACAATGAAAACCTTTTATTTTTATTTTTTCGAAAAAATTCTGAACGTTTCGTGTTGAAATTCATATGCATTTATACATTAATTTGAGGATGTTTATGTTATGTCTCATATCATTTCATTTCATATTTATAGAGATACAACATTAAATAATAAAGAGACACGACCTTAAATGAAATGGCATCTTTTAAATCCTAGCTTTCTTATATTTATAGGGATACAACACTAACATATATATGAATATGTGTGTGGCCGTGTGGGTTCTGATGTTTGACCAAGAAGCATACAAGTGAGTGAGAAAAATGTTGGAGCCTAGAGTTTATATTTCTTGATTTAATGATTTATTAGTCTAGACGGATTTACTTGATATTTTTAACACAAACTCAAAGAAAACTAGTATAGCATGTTTGGTACACTATACTGAATATAGCGTGAATTATGTATTGTTCTAGAGAAAATACTTGTCATATATCACCATTTTATATAATTTTTTTACACAAGAATGAGGTACCAAAAAGATATTTTGTTTTTTTTTTTTTTTTTTTTGATGAGATTTTGACTCAATCAAATCTCGTCACATTATAGGTTGGTAAACAAATTTGTAAGTTCTAATATACATGTAGCACGACCATTGTTCTAATACAGCTCTTGGTGTTTCATTGTATTAGAAAAATGTAGTACTTTTAAAATAAAAAAATTTCTTACCTGTACATAAATTTACAGATAAATAATTTTCTACTTAGAAGTATTTTTGACTTATAATTAAATTAAATTATATGAGTGTTTTTTTTTAATTGTATGTAATTTTCTGTTTGAATTTTTTACTATGGGGGTTGGATTCATCAACTGAGAAGTGTGAATCCATAGCCAACTTCGATGGAGGCAATTTCCTTTGTTTATCTATGACAGGAATTTGAACTTAGAAAAATGCTTGAGGTACATTGTGGTGTACAACGGGGTGTCCATGCGCCTCGGTATTGGCTGAGGCGCAGGTAGGCCCCGGCATGGCAGGCGCCTCAGAATTGTGTCCATTTTGGACACCCCTTGGATACCACAATGTACCCATAGTATGATTGTTGAATTTAATAGAACATTTGCATATAGATTTTGCATCTAGGTTTGGGCTTGGCTTCGGATAAGAAAGAAATTTCCATAATTCCACTCACATTTACCCCTTGTATAAATCTTCAATTTACGGTATAAAGTATATTTTGAAGTATGTATTTTTTTTAAACATATATAGCCCTTTAAAACTGAATAATATTTTTTGATACCTCACATTAACTTCATAAAAAGAACTTCTATTATTCTCACGCCAATTGGTGAGCTTGTGTGTAGGTCCATGTACTTTTGATATTGAAAATTATGATGGAGGCTTACCATCTATCATCTCAAAACCATATTCATGGACCAAGGTAGAAAAATCTCCTTTTTCCTGGATTTTTCAACTCATATATGTATTTATGTCTTCCATAGCTTTCTGCCCTTACAATATGATTATTAATTTTCAGGTTGCCAATATTATATTCATAGATGCGCCTGTTGGTACCGGATTTTCATATGCAAACACTTCACAGGGTTCCTTTTCCTCGGACATTAAATCGGCAAAAGATATTTTCACATTTCTTAGAAAGGCCAGTAGACATTATTTATCATAGATATTTCATTCCTAGATAGAAATTGAGGCAATAGAAATGATGTTTTACTTGGAACTTACTAGTAGTCTTACACATTCACGCCTATAGCACTCCCCCACTTTTTTTAGTTTAGTGACCTAACAATATATTAATAAGAATGTAATGCAGTGGTTATTGAATCATTCTATGTTTCTCAAAAATCGTCTATATATTGTGGGTGAATCCTATGGAGGCAAACTTGTTCCTATGGTTGTCATGGAAATAGTACGAGGTAATATATACAAAAAATGAAAAGAGAAACTTATAAGATTCTAGTTCCATGTTTTATTATCCACCAATGAAGCTTGACTAATTGTTAATCTTGATTGTAATGTAGGAAATGAAGCAAGACTTCAGCCACAGATGTCCTTTCAAGTAATGATTAGTTCACACAAATATATGAATTTCTTCTTATTTATTTGCCACGACTATAAATTGTATATTTTGCTTTAATGGTCGAGTACTTTTGAAATGGAAACAGGGATACATTATTGGCAATGGATTAACGGATCCAATAATTGATTTTAATGCACGAATTCCGTATGCTCATCGCATGTCGCTTATATCCGATGAATATTTTGAGGTAATCTTTTTTATTCAATTATTTTGATTATAAAATGCAGCATATTGCATCTTATTCCCATGTAATTACTTAACACAATTTCAGTTAGCAAAAATTAGTTGTGCGGGAAAATATTACAATCGTGATCCAAATAATGTGCAATGTGCATATGCCCTTCAACGGATCCAAAAGGTGACATTGTGTATCTTATTTTATTTTATTCTATTTTTCATTTCCTTTAACATTTATTATGGTTGTAAACATTAAATATTTCAGTGTTTAAGTCACATAAAACAAATTAATATTTTGGAACCAAATTGCGGAGACGGAGCATCAAAACAAGATGATTTTGGATGGCATCAAACATTTTCGAAAGACAATTCAAATGACCATCTCATCCTCCCGACAGGAGAACAAGAGTGTCTGGTAACTTAATTAATCCTCCATGTATATATTTGTACAAAAATTTATTTTTTACAAATTAAGTCAAGACTTTTTCGCTGACGAAAGAACTTTAAAAAATTATTTTTGATAGAAAAGAAACTTAAAGTAATTCTTTTATTTTTATTTTTTAAATCTCAGCCGTGCATGCTCAGTTTCTCACAAAACGTTTCTTTTGTACAGAATCAAGACTATGCAATAACCAATGAATGGGCAAATGCTCCGATTGTTCAAGAAGCTCTTCATATTAGAAAGGTACGTGTAATTGAAAAGAATTAAAGATTTAGTATGTGGTACCATGTGCCAGTTGTCAACAAAAATCAGTATATATGATCAAGATGTTTACAATAACCTTGTTATATTTGTTAATTAGGGAACGATAACAAGGTGGAAAACATGCAATGGTGGAATATATTATAAACAGAATGTAGAAAGCGCTCTTGAATATCATAAAATTTTGATCAAGAAAGGATACCATGCTTTGGTGTTCAAGTAAGCAATAATAGTTTGTCTTAAACAGAAATCATGACTTAATTTGTTCAAAGTTTAATCTAATCGATCAACTACACACACACACATGTTGGTTTAAAATTATTGTATAGAGCTAAACAAAAACATTACTATAAATATTTTAATTAGACATATGTTGTCTAATTATTCTTCTTTTCTTTCTAGTGGTGATCATGACATGGCTGCACCATATATGGGCCCTTTAAAATGGATTCGCATTCTCAATCTGACTATTGATGATGATTGGAGAGCTTGGCTTGTTAATGGCCAAGTCGCAGGGTATTTTTTTGTTCTTTATTATTATTGTTGTTATTATTTTTGTTGTTGTTGTTGTTGCTACTGCTGTTGCTCTTCTTCTCCTTCTTCTTCTCAAAATTGCAACCTACTTTACCCCTTGTAGATATACAGAGAAGTACAAGAAGAATGACTTTGATCTCACATTTGTAACAATCAAGGCAAGAAAAGTTTGGATTGTGTCATTTCTTATAATGATTTGAAGAAAAAGAAATAAAAGTGTATGTTTTTATTTGGCAGGGTGCTGGACATTCAGCATCAATGAATAAGCCTGAAGAATGTCTAGCAATGATCCATCGCTGGCTCTCTAGACGTCCTATATAGGCATGGGTAGACGAAATGTTTTGGGGGTGCATTTGTGCCCCTAATTGATCAATCATGTTGGAAATTACTTCTCTTTTGCGCTATAAAAATTGTGGAGTTGTTCTGTGTTAAAGAAATAAATTTCTCCATGGTATTGCTTCTCTCATGTCATTAGCTTTTAGTACTTGTGGACGGATGGATAGTATTATGCATTTTGTTTCAAATGTGGTCTTTGGTGATTTAGTAATGTGATATGTTACTGTTGGTTCTTCAGTATATAGTGTGTGTTTTTAAGTGAAACGCCGGTTGCGCCTCTGCGTTGCCAGATTTAGTGTGGTATCGAACTGCCGAGGAAGAGAGATAGAAGGGAAGAGAGATGGTGGGGGGATAGAGAGAGAGAGTTGGGCAAATGAATGAATTAGGGTTTTATTCTTTTGATACCTGATTTATGCACAATAAAACTTCACCCCTAATGTTTGAAATCTAATCTTTAAACATCTGGAATTTTGTAATTTTCCCAAGTTACCCAAATAAATAGTTAACAAACTTCAGCCCACTATCACAAAATACCCATTCAGCTTCAACCATAGGCCCTACAGCATCAACAACCGACACTCCATGCCGTCGACCACACCTCGAAAGAAACCAGACTGAGCGGCGCCGATGAATTTCACAACTCTGACCACTGAACTCAAAACCCAGCAGTAAAACTTTACTGATGTAGCCTAAGATAACGTCTAATGGAAGAACGTCCCAAGATTTCCACCACAACACTTCATACTCACGACACCAGAATTTCAGTCCACGTTCACCGTACCAAGCCGACTCGAAAAACTGTCATCGAACTCGTCAAGTGAAAAATAAATAGCAACAACAAGAATAATTGCCAACAATTAAACTAAACAGTTACTTCAGTAAGCTGTAAAAATCTTGCAAGAAATCCAATTGCTTGTTGGTGGTTGACGGTTGACATAGTAGAATTACTAAGGATACTACACTGATTATGGTTGAACTAAAGAGTCATGCTCTTCATCCCAGTAATTACATATCATAAGCAAACATGAAGAAAGAGAACCTGGACCCAGCAACACCAGATAATTTTTTATTCCAGAAGGCTTCTTTCTACCACAGAAAAGTGTCCTTAATCGCCACGACTGGAATTTTCAATGCATCTTTTACCAAATTCTTGAAACCCATTTCATTCTTTAACGAAAAGCATCTGACCCCATCAAAATCTTTGTTTGAAGAAAATTTGGCATCTGGGTATAGTCTGTCGAAAATTCTCGTTATATTAGGCAATGAAGAGAGATGGGTTCTTGCAGAAATTAGCCATGCACGAAACGTGAGAATTTGCACGGTTAATAGGTTATCTGATGAGGGCTTATATGCAGCAAGATGAAAATATTTGTAAACAATTCTTGACGATGAGGGTATTGTAAAAATTAACGTGATTTGTGTAATGAACTATCAATTTTAGGCATGAATCAAATAAAATAAATATGAGAATATAGTTAGAAAAGCTGGCCTAAGAGAGTCGCGATAATCATTGTCCTAAAGTCGTGTGGCCTCCCATTCGTGTGGTTACTTTTGGCATTGCACTGCTCGAAGATAAAACCCTTATAGTTTGCAGCCGATTCTCCTTCTATGGGCATGACCACAAGGAGGGAAAGAACAAGTCCTTATCAATTGCCAAAAGTTTATAAAAGAAGATAAAATGACAAGAGAGTAGTATGAGAAGAAAGTAGTATGAAAAGAAAGTAGAGAGTATTTTGTGTTTGATTTTGTTGTATCAAAGAATGTGAAATCCACCCCTTTTTATAGTAGAAGAAGTCAACCATCTCATTATGAAAATTAATAAAATTCAACATCTGTTACAAATATAATAATGGAATTAAATTTTGTATTGAATATAAAATTAAACACAAAATTGAAAAATTAAAAAATTAAAATTGAAAGCTTAAAAATTAAAATGAAAAGTGAAATTTTTTAATAACTTATTTTTTCCAACAATCGCCCACAAGTTTTAAAACTTTCAAAATAATTATATATGCACATAGTGGCAATATTATAATGTATAATAGGTGTAGGTGTATTTTGGACTTGAACTTCACTTAGTGATAACAATTTCCATCTGAGGTAGCCATAATGGACTAAGCCTTAAATTATGTCTCTTTGACCAAACTTCAATTGCTCCACACACAGTATCAATTTAGGCTTGGTTCATAGTGAGTAGGCTATTAATGGTCATGCGCTCTTATCTTGATTCTAGTAAGAGTCTCTAGGAAATAGCTCAATCCCATAGTCATGACCTCATGACAACTCTTACATAAGTGAGTCCTCCAAGGGTGCATATGACCCACACCTTGGAAGAATTCCCACCTCAGTACTCATTTAGGGTAAACCCTTCCTAATATCACAATCACAACACTATCACCATAGGGATGAACATAAAATATAATGCTATTACGAGTCATGTAGTACGGGTTGCTCCTACCATATTGAACTTTTTTTTATGGGATCTCCAATCACAAAGCTTGAGTTACTCCCAGAGATGACTCCCTTACGGGTTTAAGCCCATCCCTCTCGATGATTCATTAACACCTTTTTTAGGTAAAGCTTTAGTTAAGTTATCTGACAAATTCTTTTCAGATCTCACGAAATTGAAAGAAATCTCATTCTCTTAAGTAAGGCCTTAACTGACTTAAGTCTTGCTTGAATATGCCTATTCATCTTCTTATTTGGGTTAGATTGATTTACAAGCTCTATTTACAATCACAATGTATTGAAATAACTAGAATTGGCTTACTTATTAATGATATATCTAATAATAAATCTCTAAGCCACTCAGTATTAGTACATGTTGTATCAATGTACTCCTAGAGATAATCGTTTGTCTTTTTGAACCCCAGGACATGGCCCCATCACCCAGCATAAATACATATCTAGTGGTATATCCAGTGGTAGGCTTAATATCTACATTATTAGTTATCCAGTTTTTATAGAATAATCTAATATACCTTGGAGATATTTAAGCACTCTCTCTAGAGTATTCTAATGTTCTTTATTTGGATTGTTAGTATATCTACTAAATCTCCCAATAGCAAAGGCTATATCAGGTCTTGTCCTATTTGCTATGTACAACAAGGATCCAATAATTTGAGAATACTCAAATTGCGAAACTGGTTCACCTAAATTCTTCTTCAAGTGTACATTTGAATCATATGGAGTGGAAACTGGTTTATTGTCATAATGTCCAAAATTTTCAAACATCTTTTTAATAGCATTAGATTGATTTAGTAAAATTCCTTTAGAAGTTTTCCTTAACTTCATTCCCAAAATTATATGAGCTTCTCCCGAATCTTTCATTTCAAAATTCTTTGACAAAATACATCATTAACAAATCCTAAATTTGTCCCAAATATTAATATATCATCTACATATAAACAAAGTATCACATGCACACTGTTATCTTCTTTGCAATATACACACTTGTCATGTGTATTAATTCTAAATCCATAATTTAGTATAACTCTATTAAACTTCTCATGCCACTGTTTAGGTGCTTGTTTTAGTCCATATAATGACTTCATTAACTTACATACTCTATGTTCTTGTCCTTTGACTTTAAATCCTTTTGGTTGTTTCATATATATTTATTCATTAAAATCACCATTAAAAAATGCAGTCTTAACGTCCATTTGATGAATGATCAATTTATGAATACTACTCAATGCTAATAATGTTCTAATAGTAGTAATTCTAGCAACAGGAGAATATGTATCAAAATAATCATCTCCTTCACTTTCAATAAATAAATATAGCAATATTTAGAATAATCATCTATAAATGTTACAAAATATTTATTACCAACTCCTGTTTGCTATCTATTAGAATCACAAACATCACTATGAATCAATTCTAAAAGGTTTGTGTCCCTTCTAACTGATTTAAAAGGTCTCTTAGTTTGTTTGGCTTGTACACAAACTTCACACTTATTATTACCAATTTGAAATTTTGGGATCAAGTTTAGATCCATAAGTTTCTTGATCTTTATCTTACCAACAGGACCCAATCGTTCATACCACAAGTAACTAATTTCCATATTAAGAATTATGGAAGAATCACGATAAAGATTTTCAATAATATTCAATTTAAACAATCCATCACTAATATAACCTTTCCCAACAAAACATTATTTTTTGTTATAACATCCTTATTTGACTCCATTACAAGTTTAAAACCTTGTTGAACTAAAAGTGACCCACTAACTAAATTTCTTCTAACTTCTGGGACATGGCGAACTTGATCTAAAATTAAACTTTTCCCGGAGGTCATCTTAAGCTCCACACTTCCAATTCCCAATACAAGTACAATGGAGTAATTTCCCAAAATTACGCTTCCTTCGCTTGAAGTCCGATAAGATTTAAACAAAGTCTTATTAAAACAAACACGAACATTTGCTCTAGAATCTAACCACCATTCATTACTATTAAAAGTAAAATTGACTAAAGATGTTGATGAGTCACACTTAATAGAATGTCCACCATCCTTCAACATGTTTACTTGATCCTTTTGAAATTTGTCCTTAAGCTTGTACTCCTTTGTCTTTTTGTAGTAGCAATCTCGAGCAATATGGTTTGTTCTTCTACATACATAACATGGCCCTTGCTCATTCTTCTCTTTGCCATTGTTATTCTTAGGTTGGAAATTTTTTCGATAATAGTGAAAGTTTTTCTTAAACTTATTACCCTAAGTCTTAAATTGCTTTGAGGAGAAAGTAGGATTTTTTAAATTTTCTACCAAGTTTGCCTTGGCATGTGATTCATCAGCTTTGTTGATACGATTTCTATGATGTTATTCTATTCTCAAGGAATTGAATACTTGGTTCACAGTTAAAATCCCTTGCTTATGTCTAAGACTTTTAGCAAAGTCTGATCAAGAAGGTGGAAGTTAATCTATAAGGCATGAAACCTCATAGTCCTCACTAAAACTTGACCCTATTTCTTCTACATGTCATGGTAAATCTTTAAATCAATGGATTTGTTCGTTTATAGATTTTTCGTCCACTATAACATATTTGTTAAAGGTTGACGCGTTAAATCTATCAACTCCATTATCATCAATTCCATATTCTTCCTCTAATGTTTTCCAAAGATCTTTAGCACTCTTGACATTTTGAAATATCATAAAGTCTATCAGAAAGAGCACTTAAAATTTGATTATGACAATGAAATTCAATTTGTTCTG